TCCTCCTCCTCCTCCTCCTCCTCCTCCTCCGTCTCGATCCGACTTCCCGATTCGATACGGGCTGAACCTGCATCGCTGGATTCGGGGTGGCCGCACGGCGTCGGGGCTCGGGCGCCCGCGTGCGACTGGGGCGGCCGCCTCCCGGGTCCCAGCACGGTGCGGGGCGCAGCGTTGCCCCCAGACAGCCGGTGCTGCGATGTTGGTCGGTGCGTGGACCCCTGGAGGTCGGGACCCCTTCCCTACTTGGATCACCGCGGCGGTTGCTAGGTGGACAGGGGGCTCTGAAAGCGGATGGTAATGTTGCCTACGTTTGGCCTAAGTTAGTGCGTAAATGGGCTACGTATACGTGCTCTGAGGTGGCTTAGGGGGGTCAGGTAACTCCGCTAAGTGGGCGGAGCCCACTTAGCCCAGATCGTTATCCTCCAAGCCACTTCGGGCACTCCTCACGCACCTGCAAGTTCGGCCAGAAAATGTATAGCCCACCTTATCAAACACTTGCAACCCGCCGATCCACCCAGCAACCCCCGCGGTGATCCAGCTCTTTCGGAGCCTCGGATCTTCGGGGCGATGAGGTCTTGTGGGATGTCGAGGCCACCGCGCACTCTGCCACCGCACCGCTCCGGGGCCCCCAGCGGACGCGGCGGGCGGGCTCCAGGAGAGCGCGGCGAGCCGCCGGGGCGCCCGCCTGGCGCTGCTGGCGCTCTCCGCCGCGGCAGCGGCGGTCAGGGACAATCGGCGCGAGGCCTGGGGGCGGCTACGAGGGGGTTGATGACCTGGGGGGGAGGGATATCGTGGCCGGGGCCACGCTATCCCGTGGGCGACAAGCGTGTCCGTAGCCTTGCGGGCCGGACCCCTGGGCCGCGCCCCCGCGGATACGGGGCGCTCCTGCGCGGATGCCCCGCGCGGCACGTATGCATGCGACAGCGTGTCCGCGGGATCGCGCCCCGGATGTGCGCCGCGCGTGGTTTGCTGGAGGGCCGTGGGTCCCGACGTGTCGCGCACCATGCGCGTGCCGTTGGGCATCCCCGAACCCTCGTCCATCCCCCCCCCCCCCGTGGCTCTTGTCGCTCTCCTCCGAGGTGGGGCCCGTCGTGCGGTGGGCGGTGCCCTCGTGCCTCCCGCCGGCGGCGCCGTCCACGTGGGCGCGGTTCCCGCGGCCGGCAACTCCTGTTGGGCTGGGCTCGGCATCGGCGCCGGGCTACACAGCCGCGGTCGAAAGCCGTCCTGACTCCTGGCCAGTCCCGCTGAGGCATCGGCCTCCTCCCGCTGAGTCCGGCTGGATCCTGGGCCTCATCCGGCCCAGTTCCCATCGCTCCCCACTCGGGCTCGGGGGCCGCAGTCGATCCCACGAAGGCCTCCCAGGTGTTGCACCCGCAGGTTCTGGCCGCTGTACGCTCTGAGCGCGCCCGCGTCGCTGGCGTTCGTCGCCTGGTGCGTCCTGGCGCGCGGGCGGTTCGAGGCCGGCTCGCCCCTGCACGCGTGGACGCGGCGCTTCGGGGCGTGCTCGGCTCTCCACGGGGTCAGCCTGCTGGCGTTCCCGGGGCTGGGGTGCGGCGAGGGGGGGCGGCGCGCCACCATCGCCGCGTGCCTCGTGACCTTCTACGCCACCGAGTTCGTGCAGTGGCGCCTCCTCGTCCTGAGGCTCGGTGCGGCCCCAAACCACGGCGACAGGCAAGGTCGAGCCAGAACCACCGTCACGACGGCATGCTGGGGCCTCTCTCGGGCCCTCTTCCGTTCTGTGGCCTCTGCGCCTTTTCCTGGAGCCTTCTTGCGGCGTGTGCCTCCTTCTCCCACCCGTTGGGATGCAACTCTTGGGAGGTTCACGTCAGCATCGGCGCCGGTATCCCCATGGGCGAAATGCGGCGCAATCCAGGTCAATTACGCTTAACCAGCTCAATCTGGTTTGATCAGGCTTACTGTTGAGCTTAATCTGGGCCAAGTTGGCTCAATGTGGTGGCTTTCCTATGTGGCTTAAAAGCTCTGGCTTGCTCTCACGAGGATGTCCCAGGAGGTGCCTCCAAACCTTCTCCCCCATCCCACTCCCCTCCATCCCCCAGGAAGGAGGCGGCCAGAAGCCTTGGCCCCAAGCTCCGAGAGCGGAACACCCGCGAGTTTGGTGACGAAGGTGGTGGTGAGCTTTTCCCCTCTGGGGGGGGGCCCTGTCGCGGGCCCACCAGGCAGCCAGGCATGGCTGCCATGTGGTGCAAAAGGGCCCTCTCCGAGGGGCCCCCCTCACGGTCTGCGGCTGACCGCATGACTTCTTCTGTGTCCTCCCCACAGTTGGCGAAAGATAAGCACACACACATAACCATAGGGGGGCTGTGGGTGCGTGTTGTCCGATGGGGGTCCCCGCTCGAACGGGAGCCTCCCCCAGGGTCCGACAACCCGCCCACAGGCAGCCCTCCTCCCTCCGACCCCCCTTTATGGGCATGGGTGCGCGTGTGTGTGTGTGTGTGTTGTCCGTTCGTCGTTTAGTGGCGTGCGATCCATTCTTGGGGGTTAGGAGGAGGAGGAGGAGGAGGAGGAGGAGGAGGAGGAGGAGGAGGGGGAGGGGAGAAGGAGGAGGGAGGAGGAGGAGTAGGAGGAGGAGGAGGAGGAGGAGGAGGAGGAGGAGAGGAGGGGGGGAGAGGAGGAGGAGGAGGAGGAGGGGGAGGAGGAGGAGGAGGAGGAGAGGAGGAGGGGAGGAGGGAAATCTCACCATCGCCGCGGTCCGGGCCGCCCCCCCCCACGGAGAGGCTGCGCGCGCTGGGGCGGCCCTGCCTCGCCCAGGCGGCGCAGGCCGCCTTCCTCCTGGCGCGGCCGGCGCGGCCAACTTCAGCCTGGGGGTCACGCTCGTCGGCAGGCGCCTCGAGGGGAGAAGTCAAACGACGCGAAGATCGGGACAAAATCGGATCGGGATAACTCGAAATCTCTGAGAATCGGCGGGTTTGGAGGATGTATTGGGCGCCGCGGCCGCTCCAGAGCGTTCCGGAACGCTCTGAGAGCGCTCCGGAACGCTCTGGAGCGATTTATCCCGATCCTAGCCCTGTTTTAAGAAGCACGCCGACCATGACCAGGGTGTCGCGGGAGCTTGTCGACGCCGATCTTAGTCTTACGTCGGGCATGTCCCTCCACAGGAGTAATATTCAAAAATAGTTGTTGAAAAAATGTAGGCGATGTTTCGACTATCTTTTTTTAATGTCTTGAGCATGTGTTTGACACTGTTTTAGTTTTCGCCAAAATTCCACCTGTAGCAGGACACGTCTGACCTAAGACCAGGATGTCGCGGGATCTTGTCGACGCCGATCCTAGTCTTACGTCGGGCATGTCCCTCCACAGGAGTAATATTCAAAAATCGTTTTTGAAAAGATGTAGACGATGGTTCGACTATATTTGTTTAATCATGTCTTGAGCATTTGTTTGACACTGTTTTATTGTTCGTCAAAAATCCACCTGTAGCAGGACACGCCTGACCAAAGACCAGGATGTCGCGGGATCTTGCTGACGCTGATCTTACAGTGGAGGCCCATGCCAAGAAACACCCTGCTTGCCTCCAGGGTGCCCTGGGTTTCTTGGGTTTCGAGGGGTTTTCGATGGAGAGCGTGGCGTTCCCACGCCAAAAAACCATGGACGTCCTGGGGTCTCAGGGTTGGGTTTCTTATGGGAGGTTCTCGTCATGGTCCATGCCGGCCGTCGCCGATTCGCGAGGATCATCTGCGAACTCACGCTGACCAAGATGGGCGGTGACCAAGATTGACACCGACGTTTGCACGTTCAGTCTTGGCCATGGTCCCCGTTTGCTTTCCCTCCAGGCTCGGGGTGTCCGGGCCCCGCAAGATGGGGGCCTTGGAGCAGGTCGGGCCAGACGAAGGAGGGGGACCGGGTCGGACGTTGCATCGCTCGGACGTGTGCATTTCTTCCCGGCTGGGACCCTCGAGGAGCTTGGGAGGGCATCTTGCGGAAAAAATGCGCGCACGAAGCCGCCAAAAGTACGTGGCGAAGGAACGTCGCGGAGCGATGGCGAGCTGAAGGTTCGAGGCTCGCGGACGGCTTCGTCGGTTGAATCGGCGCTCTTCGGGCCTCGGGGGCCGCCTGCGGCAGCCGCGCCCCGTCGAGGGCCGTCCCCGGGGAGGGGGCCCCCGGAGGTCGTCTGTGGAGCGGCCGCCGGAGGCCCGAGCTCTCCGTGGCCCGAAGACTGGGCGGCCAGGGTCTCTCGTGCCACGCGACGGCGGTGGACAGGGAAGTCGCGAGATTCTAGGCGCGTCGCGCAATTCTAGACGCGTCGCGGAGGGGGGCCCTGCAGCAGGTGGTGAGCCCGTTTTCCACCGCCACCACCATAAGTTGGAGGGGGGAGGAGGAGGAGGAGGAGGAGGAGGAGGAGGAGGAGGAGGAGGAGGAGCAGAAGGAGGAGGAGGGCGGAGGAGGGAGGAGGAGGAGGAGGGGAGGAGGAGGAGGAGGAGGAAGAGGAGGAGGAGGAGGAGGAGAGGAGGAGGAGGAGGAGGAGGAGGGGGTGAGGTGGTCGCGAAATGCTAGACGCGTCGCGCACCCCCCTGCCGGCCCGTCCAGAGCCAAGGGATGCGGAGCAGCACGCGGTGGACCAGGGGGTCGGGTAAGGCGTCAGGTCCTGAGAGTGGGAGGATGGAGGAGGGATCGGAGGAGCAGGAGGAGAAATAGGAAGAGGGGGAGGGGGGAGAGGGAGGAGGAAGGAAGAGGAGTAGGAGGAGGAGGAGGAGGAGGAGGAGGAGGAGGAGAAGGAGGAGGAGGAGGAGCAGACAGGCCAGAAGCCTCTTGGATGCCTCTCGGAGTCTCTTCGGATTTCTGTCCGAGAGCTTCTTGGAGTACTCTTGGGGTCTCTTGGGGGTCTCTTGGGAGCCTCTTGGGGGCATCTTGGGGGCCTCTCCCTCTTGGGGCCTCCTGGGCACCTCTCGGGGCCATCTTGGAGGAGATCGATCAAAGGATGGGGGCTCCTTAATTAGGATCCCCCCCCCAGGAGGATAGAATGTTGCCGAAACCTTGGTAGG